TACCTAATTTTATCGGGCAACTATCTTAATTGGAAAGGACTTTTTACCCATGCCTCAGCGCTAGCTTTACAAGAATGTATTGCAGCAGTGATCTCGGAGGACTAAGCTGATTGCAGGCGGTTTGCCTGTATTTTTGTTTGGTTGATGGGAAAATGGACACTTTCTTTCAGTTCACGAAATTCAGTTAATATAGGCAACAAGTGCCTGGATGTACTGTGTACTTGGTACTAGTGTGGCACACCTTGGTGCAGGGGATCGATGTCATAAATCCTATTAATATGCCATCTCCAAATGATGCTTGAATAGAGATATTGGGAGTAAAGATGAACAGTGGTGATGTGAGGGGGAAGCAAATGGGCTGCTTCTAATGTGCATTTCAAATTGAAACAAATGGCAATTCTCATTAGAGCTTTAGTAAAGTATTCAGAGTGAGAATCTGCAAGATGACTGTTGATCACAGCCCTGAAACCTGAATGGATATATTGGACCCCGGCTTTGAGACGTTCCAATATAAAATAAGTGCGCAGAAGCTGGCGATGAATGGTTGTGGGTTAGGTTTGGACAGATAGCTCAACCTCTCAACACTTCTAAACAAACTATTATTTAAAAAATGTCAGCACAGACTGTGAGCTCAAATCCCGACGTGGAGCTTAAAACCACAACCTGAGAAGCAAGTGTGCTACCAACGGAGCAAGGCTGATGCCTATTCGTGCTCTAAGGATTAAATTGTCCTAAACTTGCCCAGAGTGCCAGGGCAAGGTAACCTGATCTGACTCCAATGTGGGGCTGAACTGCACAAACCTCTGGACATAAGGAAATGTCATTGAGGACATTTGTTGAATAGTCATTTGAAATGCGTGGCCAGACACTATCAAAGTGGAGAACCCTATTTAGCCTAAATATAAATTTATAGAAGAAAGTTAGCCATCCTCCTTCAAAAGCTGGAACCTCGACTGAACCCAATATTAAATTATATCCGGGTTAATGGGTGGCCCTCTGATCATCCATTTGAAAAAGTAAAACAGCACTTACTGAGGAATTGTAGATTGATTTATTCAGCAATGCCTGATCAATGTACCCGTTCTGTTCTGATCCTGCAACCTTCACTTGGGGACAAATGCTTCCTCTTTCCTTAACCCTAGACTGGACCACACCAAACACCACTTTATTGCTTCATTCAGCCTTCACTTGAAACTCATTCAGATTTACCAAAATGTCAAGGGACTGTTTCAAAGACTTTTTTTGTGATGATTGCCTTTTCCGGTAACTACCAGACTCCTTGGTCAACCTTAGACATCCCTTTGGAATTAGTGGGAGTATCTTCAACTAACGGAACATCTTATTAACTTTGATTTCCATTGACCCCAGGAACTGAAAGTCATTATCCTTCTTAGCTTCATGTTGGACATGTAAGGATAAAGGTATTGTATATTTTATTGCCCATTTCCCAGGGATACTTTAAATTTATGCCAATATTAAATTTTGTTCCGACTCTGAGAATAATCCTATTAATATGCCATCTCCAAATGATGCCTGAATAGAGATATTGGAATAAAGATGACAGTGGTGGTGTGAGGGGGAAGCAAATGGGCTGCTTCTAATGTGCACTTCAAATTGAAACAAATGGCAATTCTCATTAGAGCTTTAGTAAAGTATTCAGAGTGAGAATCGGCAAGATGACTGTTGATCACAGCCCTGGAACCGGAATGGATGTATTGGAACCCGGCTTTGAGACGTTCCAATGTAAAATAAGTGCGCAGAAGCTGGCGATGAATGGTTGTGGGTTAGGTTTGACAGATGGCTCAACCTCTCAACACTACTAAACAAACTATTATTTCAGTAATGACCTTGCTACTACCACCGAGTCTGTCTGGCAGACAGCAATTCGGATGCGCAGTAGCACTTTGCTGATCTTGGGAGTGTTTATTACTTTCTTGGCCATTGCAATGTTTTCAATATGATTCATCCTCTGCTCTTAACGCATCCACAATGTTTTTTAAATTGAGGACATTGTATTCAAATGGCAAAACAGAAGTGCATAATGCAATACAATAGTGTAAAATAACTGCTGTGTGCAATTGGCTGCTGCGTTTCACCCACAAAATATATAGTTAATTCACTTTACAGTATATTCTGTGAAGCGCTTTGAGATGTCTCGAAGTGCTATATCAAATGCAAGGAAATGCAAGGATTATTATTATTAAAAGGTTTTACATAGAATGACACAGAATGATTCAGCGTGGAAACAGATCATTCGACCCAACTAGTCCGTGCCAATGTTTGTACTCCACCTATACCCCTCTTTCTTTCTTTCTTTCTCTCTCTCGCTCGATCTCTGTGTGTGTCTCTCTCTGTCTCTGGCTTTCTGTCTCTCTGTATCTCTCTCATGTATGCATCACATTTCCTCTTGAATACATTGATGCTTTTTGCTCTAACCACAGCTTCCAGCATTAAGTTCCACCGTTGTCTGCGTTAAGTTCCTGCTAATCTCCCATTTAGAGCTGCCGCTGTCTATTTTAAATTGATGCCACTTTGTTTTGGACTCACCAACAAATACAAACAGTCTATCAAAATCCACCTTACCAAATTCTTTCATAATCTTGCACCCAGTACTCCAAATGTGGTCCAATCAAATCTTTGTGTGCATTGAACATTCCTTTCCTACTTTTATATTCTGTCATTTGTGATCCCAGGCAATTCTACTTACAATCCATCAGTTACTGGAATGAATATTATATTTTGTATTTTATATTCCATTCCTCTGGACAGAACTCCAATAACTCTATTTGCATTCCTTATGGCCTTGTTCACTTGTGCTGCAAATTTGGTTTCCTCAATGCTTTGTTTCTCTACCCCTCTTAGGTTCCTACGATCGAGGCTACAGTCAGCTTCTCTTTTTCCTATGAATCACTTCACATTCCATCCTAATAAATTTCACCTGACACCTATTCACCCATTCTATAAGACTATTTATTCTTTGAAATATAATCGAGCAAACAAATCCAAAGAATAATGGCATAAAATAGGTCTAAGACTTCCTGTTCATATAACTGTTAGTTATCGCTGGGAACCTGGGAGTTATGCACCAGCAAATTACAAGTGTTTCTCAGGCTTTTCTATTGCTTTCAATAACGTGAAATATTCATTACTTTCCATTTCTAAAAGGGAATAAAGGATGAATTGCTTTGAAAGTAATTCCTTGTTTTATCATAATTAAAGTGCTTTGTAATGTCCTCCCGCCTTAAAAGGAGCTGCATCAATGTAAACTGTATTATATCATGAAATGCTAATTTTAACTGTTCAAAGCTGTATACATTTTACTTTGGAACTCAGTAACCCGCAAATACAACAACAACAACAGAATTACATTTATAGAGCATCTTACACGTTGGGAGGACGTCCCAAAGCTCTGAACAGTCAGGTGTTGGGGCCCGAGCATCAGTCAGGGGTGGCTTAGAGGTGAGAGAAGGCAGAGATGTGGGAGGGTGACCAAAGGCACGATCAAAGAGGAGGGTGTTGAGACCGGCCCTGAAGGAGGCAAGGGAGGAAGCGAGGTGAAGGGACTGTGGGATGGAGTTCCAGAGTGTGGGGGCAGAGAGGCTGGAAGCCCGGCCACCGATGTTAGGCCATGTTGGGCGGGACACATGGAGCAGATCGGAGCCCGCTGAACGGAGGGAGTCGGCAGGTTGGTAGGGAGTCAATAGGTCAGTAAACCACAAACTCGCAAAACGCCTTCAAGTTTGTTACAGTTTCTGCCATTTTTTTAAATCAAAGGAAGGCTGATTATTACATGGAGTAAAATTAAAAAATCTCTGAGGTTTGTAAACTCATGACATGCTGCGAAAACGGATTTCTTTCTACAGGTGTGTTGAGGTAAAGGTTCAATGCAGTTCTCAAAGTGTTATTGTCCATCCTGATAATTTTAAGAACTTTCTCTTGAAGAAACGGTTTAACGGTTTCACCAACAAAATGTACAGTCAATTCACTTTGAGACGTCTTGAAGATGTGATAAGGTGCTATATCTATTGCTATTATTATTAAATATACATGAAACTGTTCAGACCAGATAATGCCTTATTGCTCATGTCCTTTGTAAGACCAATTTGAGTGAAGAAGAATATTTATTGGAAAAATCCTGCATTTGCAGCATAGGATACAGGCGGATTACAATGCATAATTGCTAAATGCTAGAATTTTTAAAGAGAATTGGTCTTAAGGATCGAACCTAAATTATTAAAAGTGATTTTATTTCCTCAGAAGTATCACTTGCTTATTTTAGTCATAAATCAGCACTTGATGACTTTATTTTCTTCCTGAATAATCCATCAACTGATCTTTCTCCAGAATTAGCATCTTCTATTTTAAAGGGAGAGAAACTAGGTGCAAAACAACCTGAAAGCAGAAATCTAGAACCTGCTGTCAATGTTAAATGCGAGATCCTCTGTTAGTATAGGGTTTAAGTTTGATTGTGAGAGAATTATGACCCCAAATAAACCAAATCCTTGCATTTTAGGAGGTTTGAGTAAAACAAATACCAAAACTGCATAATCTAATAAATCCAAAAGTTGCCCAATTCTGGATATTAGTGAATAAATGTCAAGACCTTACTTATGAGATCTGCTGTATATTTTGGCTTTTTTTTACTCTTGTTCAATGTACAGAATGATAACGATAAATATAACATTTCTCATTGGACTCTTATTGGCAGTAATAAGCACATCACCAGTAATAAGGCCATCAATAATATTTTTATGATGATGGGTTTAATGTGCAGCATTAATGTGACTCCTTAATAAACAAAATCTTAACAGAATCCAGTAGCTTTCCTTCGACTGAATGTAAGCCGCACTGATTTACTTTTGGAGCAAAAGTTCAGTGGAATTCGAGCTGAATTCCTTATTTTGTGAGATCATACCCCTGGCACATGATGATAAATTGTTACTTTTCAGATCGTTCTTGTGTGTTGTAGTAAAAGTGTCTTTTTTTCTTTAAATCCGTAGATTAACCTTATGCTTAATGGTAAACCGGTGATTTCTGCTTTTGCTGGGGACAAGGATGTAACTCGTGAAGCTGCCACGAACGGAGTGCTCCTATATTTAGACAAAGAAGACAAAGCCTACCTGAAGTTGGAGAAAGGTAACCTGGTTGGAGGATGGCAATACTCAACGTTTTCTGGCTTCTTAGTTTTCCTCTGTAAAAGCCCAGCAAAGCATCCTTGAAATCCACACGTAATCCACAAGTTTCTTGATCTAAACCAGTTGTCCTACATGTCGTTTCGAGGATCATTTAAAAATCATGGATTGTTGTTGCAAGTATTAAAGAATTTAATCTGAACTGTATCTCGGTTGGATGTGAACTGTCTGCTTTTTTCCCCCTGAACTAACTGCTATAAAGACCTTTATCTGTTCTGTGAAACGTGTGGCAGGACATAAAGTGGACAAAATATAAACGCAAGAGAAAGAAAACGCGCTTACAGCCGTTGAAATTGAGTTGGAATGGTTTGCCTGCAACATTTAGTGACCAGTTGTATGGACTTTGTGCACAGATATATAATTATAAATCAGTTTTACCTTTTAACAGAGCTGTGAATGAGGTTGTTAAATGCATTAATAATGGCTTTAAACTCATTGTTCCCTTATTTAATATGTCACAGCAAGAAAAGTATACTACTTTACCACCATAACTGTATCATAGCTCTGGGATAAAATCTCATTAATCTAATTACCATGCAACATGTGCTTACATTGCCTTAAACTATAAATCAAAAGTTGTACTATTCTAATCTATCATTGTGTATCTTTAATATTGGAAACTTAGATGTTCTGTTTTTCAATGCACTTTTACATCAAGATCCCCTTCCTTTAAAACCTTTATGGAATAATGTCAGACCTAATGAGCATAATCCACTTTTATCCTCAAGTTTGTGAGGGAAATCTGGTGTCAAAACTGTTTGCTTGTGATAATGTTACATTGTCTTCAGGATGATCTCGCTCCCATAACTCAGTTGATTAGGAGTGGTGTGGCTCACACATGGCATTTCATTGTTCGAGATTCCTGCATGCATTCCGTGGAATAGAGCAATCACCAATTTAATCGACAGGGGAGGTTGGAAGCTGTCCTGTGTTTGAATCTAACCTCTCAAAAACGTATTCATCGATGCAGCTCCTTTTCAGTTTCTAACCCAATCTGGCTATGCGAACTGAAACATTTGTGGCCAATCCAATTTTTAAAGTTGAAAATGTCTTGTGGTTGGATTCTTTTAATATACTTCTTCCCTTCTCCTCTCCCCCTCTCCCCCCCAACCCCCCCCCCCCCCCCCCCCACCACCCCCACCTTCATTTACGTGGAAATCGCGGTTAAATTTAAATTTGTGGTGTTGATCTTGTCGATTTTACACACTCGCCCTCTCTCTCTCTCTCTCTCTCTCTCTCTCTCACTTTGACACTGGTATGATTCCGTAAAAATAGCTTGACCCTAAACCTTGTCCTAAGTATTTGCGTACAGTTCAACTTTTTTGAAATAACGAGACATGTAAAACAATACAAAGTTTTAAGTAGTTGAGATGCCAAAGCTTCTGAGGTACTTTCATGGTCTAAACAGAAGACTACTTGTGCTATTTTTCTTCACTTGCATATTTCTCAATGGCAAATGTCGTTGCTGTGTTTACAGGTTTAATTTTCATTCATCAGTTATTTTATGCTTTGGATAGAACATGGTAATGATAAACCACTTCTGTCACGAGTGTAAATGAGAATTGTATAGTTAATGATTCTGTCTGTCGCAGGAATGGCTTTATGGTTTGGAGGATAAAACTAATTTATGTACAATTAAACTTTCTTCTGGTGTTCTGGAAATTGTGAAAATAAAATAAAAGCAAAAAAAACTGTACAGTATATGGTGGTTTGCTGTTAAGTGGTCACAGTTTTCAATTCTAGTGCCATCATATCTGATCCAATACTTTTGTTTTTCATGGGAACTGAACTATTTCACTGTCTCGTCTATTCAATTTTTGAAGTATAGAACAAAGGCTTTTAAGAATGAGGAATGGCCAATGAATGAAATGTTTCCTTTGCATTGCACAATGACTAAGATGGCTTTAATTGGTAGTTTTGGCTCCTTTTAACCATTGCAAGCCAAAGCCCTAATGAATCGGGTGGTCCTAACTGGGCAAGTAGTTGGACAGTCCTTTCAAGCTAATGCGATTTTCAACTGGTTAAACTCCAGCAGTACCCCGACACACACTCTGCAGTCCCCAAGTCTTGATTCTTGCCAACCTGCACCTAACGCTCCCTGGAATTAGGTAACAGGATGTGTCACTACGGAGAAAGTGTGCATTTTCCATCCCAAACGTGTGCATTTTCATGTGTAGGTGGCGTACATATGTAGAATGCTCAGTGGATACTCTTAGGCATGGTGATGGGTTTCCAAGTGTGTCTTAAATGTAATTCAAATATTTTCAGTCCAGTACTTGAATGTAAAAAAAACTTGGAAAAATAAATGTTCAAATTCTCAGTGACCATATCTTTACTTTTAAAGGGATCTGAAGAAATCCATTACAAATCCTGAGATTAGTTTAATCACTGTCTGTCTTACCTTTTTGCTTTGCTGTCATTTTTTTCCTCTGTCTCCAAAGCCTTGTCAACATTATTGCAACACTGTCAACACTGTTAGAAAATATTTTCTCATATTGTTAATAATAATCCTTGCATTTGATATAGCGCTTTTCACATCTTCTCAGCATCTCAAAGCGCTTCACAGAATAGACTGTAAAGTGAAATGACCGTATATTTGTGGGCAAAGTAATAGTGTTGTAACAGTAATAGTGGTTTTTAAATTGTCCAGTGAATTATTCTTGTAAATCAATGTTAGACTCAGTAATTTTGTGAATGACTGAATACTATTGTATACTGTTAATCATGTGTGTACCACATAGGTTATTTAGACATCCACTAACTTTTTCCAATACACACTGACAGATTTACACTGAATCCAAGTTAATTTTACTTCAAGTGGGGGAAAGAATATTGGGTCCACTGAATTTTTGCCACATCATCAATTAGATTAAATATTTTCAAGGAAATTCTAAGTCCAGTGTCCTTACCTCTAAATGTAATCCAAATCCCACATAACCTATTTTAATACCACTGAATCTGTCAGAAAACACAATACTACTAAAGATTATTTAACATAGTCTTCATCCTGCTTCATGCCTTTCAGAGATAAGTTTGGGTGAAGACTCTATAGTACATTTGATCTCATCCTTTCGGAATGACCCACCTTACTGTTTAGCTATTTCTTAAATCAATTCAGTGCCCTAACTTCTACCACCTTCCTGCTAACTTGTTCCAGTTTTTGGTTCAGTTTGGTTCGGATACTCTTAAGCATGGTGATGGGTTTCTGCGGGTGTCAAATAAAAAATCTGTCTGAAGGATATTTCCTGATACAATTATTACTTTTCATAATCCTGCGCGCTGAGTACCTGTTGCTTAAATTACTTGAAAGTAAATGAATTTCAGTCTTCAATCCATTCCTTCTTGATCTTGGTTTTCTTAAATTTTCTGAAATTAATTTTTCGGATCATCTTCACCTGCTGTAAATCTATCTTGTTCTCTCAGCTTCCACTATTCTTTTGCCTTTCCTTCTGGTTCCTCAACCACACCAGCAAAGTATGTGGATGAATGAATATCTTTTTCTTTACAAAAAGTAATTTTAAGCTGTATAGCAAAATCTACTGTTCAGATAGTTCTGTGAATGAGGAGCATTTTATTAAAAAGTAAATTACGATTAATTCCATGGAGTATGTGACTACAGATGATGCTGATTTTCTACAAAAATTCAATGACTGCTTTTACTGTTCTTGGTTTTGCTAATGCATGAGGCCTGTAACACACCACGTATTCTATAATTTGTCCCTCAGTATCACATTCTTTACAAACTCTCAAAGTTTGTAAAGCTTTACAAGCTTACATGCTCCCAAATTTCCCTTATGGAAATAATCAGATGCGGTTGTATTCCATGACTAATGCATTTGATTTGCTACGCAGATATATCTTCAAAACACTGTTGAAATATTCATGGAGTCCAACATTTGTAATTTGGAAAATAAATTATTCTCTGTATCTTATGAGCTCTATAAAATTTTCAATTACATTTTCAGTTGAGTGTCCAGAAAAGATGAATACATTTTTTTTCATGTATTTCCGTTGTACCATTGGATGGAGATGATTTTGTAGCTGCGGAAGGCTCCTCTCATGAACAATCACTTGAGAATGTTCTCAAGTCTTTTTAAGGTATCCTCACCTCAATGTATGATTTGTTGGTACCAATCAAAATTGAAAATCTGCTAGGTGCAATTTAATCTATCTTCTCTTTATTATCTCGATGTATCTCTCCTTATTTGTGCTGTTTTTCAATAGCCAAAGTAGAAAGCAATTTATAATTAAACCCAACATGCAGGCTGTAGAGCCTTCTGACACAGAGCTATGGAGGTGCAGCAGCCTATCTGCTGGCTCAGTTGGTAACACACTTGCCTCAGTCAGAAGTGGGTTCAAGCCCTGTTTTGGGACTTGGAACTCATGTAATAATAAGATCACAAGATTGTTTGGGATGTTTGATCTAATTTTTCCAGAATACTCACCCTACTGTTTTCTAATCACAGCATCAAGCTGCTTTTTAAATTAGTCCAGCGTTCTGGCCTCAACCAACTTTCCTGGCAACATGTTTATTGTTAATTACCTATAGGTAAAGAAACCTCCTAGTATCTGTCCTGAAATTTCTAAACTCGTTGCCCTCTTGTACTTCTGTCTGGGTGGATCCTGGAGTTTTGTTCTGGATTTACTTTTTTCAATCCCAATTAAAATATTACAAACCTCTAAGGTCCCCTTTGAGTCCTCAGGCCTGAAGATCCCTAGTCATTGTTCAAATCTATCCTGATACTGTGGTGCAGTGCTGCATTGTCAGAGGTGCTGTCCTTCAGATGAAATATTACATCAAGATTCCATTTGCCTATTCAGGGACATTAAAGATCCCATGGTACTATTTAAAAAGAGTTTCTCCAGGTATCCTTGCCAAACATCTACTGAATAAAACTGGTCATTCACTCCACGGATGTTTGTTGCTGTGTGCAAATTTGGCTGCTGTTTGCCTATATATAAAAAAAGGTCACGACATTTTGCAGTATATCAAGGGAAGTGCTTTGAGATTTCGTTCTGATCCAAAAGGTGCTATATCAAATGTAAGTACTACTATTACTGGATTACTTTGTTTAATAGAGTCACAGAGGAGAGTGACTGAGCAGACTCCAAGGAATATACATTCTCGCACATTGCCTTGTGTGCCGTTTCATGATTGTGGTTGGAGACTTGAGTTAGTCACTGACCACCTTTCTCGCTTCTTGGGATACTGGGTCAGGAAAACAATTTCTAAAGAGGAAAGGAGAAAATGAAACTTTTTTTTGAACAAAAAGAAGCCGTTTCACCCTAAAATCTAAACAACCTTTACCTAAGGTTTGCAATTTCACACAGCAGCTAATGAACAATTTTGTGGATTGTTGACTTCAGTTTAAACTCTGCCCTAGCCTGGGGATTACACAAACCTGGAGCACCAAATGAACTCAAATTGATGCCTAAATCAATAATTTTCAGGTCCGAGTCCAATAGTTTAGGAGCTCAGGGAATAAGTATCCCCATGGTTTGGCAGGCAGCAATGCTCTTTTTTCTGACCAGACACAGTTGGGGTAACGGATGGAAGGAAATGTATTGTAGAAATTTTTAGCAACAGAAGGCCATTAAGTATCAGTTATTCATCATCTTTAACCTCATTATCTAGTTCTTTCTTCCCCACAACCTTCATACCCTAATGTTCCTGCTGATCAGGAGTGCTTTGAATAGGAAATATTTATTCTTCACTGGTGTTTTTAACATAAAAGCTTGTGCTCATTCTTGAAAGCATGGAAAATCTAGAGACATTCTTTTGAGGGTGAGATGAATTATTAAGTTTCGTGTATATTGAATTCAGCAATGGTGCTAGACCACCCAAATCTTTGTATTGGATGTGCATGAAATCTGAAAGAATATTCTTTTGCTTTATCTTTTTAATAAGCACCCATAAAATATTAACATACTTTCTCCTCTTGGTGAACTGCTATTCAAGCCTTAAAATTCTGGCAGTGTTGTCTATTGTATGATAATTTCTAACTGGTTTCCTTGGGAAGAAACCTGAGGTTTGTACGTCAAGGGAACGCCTCTCCAATATGTTCTGCTTTTGGGTTGGAGTGACATGTGTGATGCATCTCTCCGGTTACCCC